AAAAAAAAAAAAAAAAAAATAAGACCTTCCCCGAAAATAAGACACTAGTGTGTTTTTTTTGAGCCCAAAAAATATAAGACGGTGTCTTATTTTTTTCGGGGGAAACGCGGTAAAATGAACTTCAGCCAGCATGGAAATGTTTGTTCTGGGAACAGCGTGATAGGGAACACCCATCAGTTTGAGCTCCATTCACACCGGAGCATTTTGTCAAAGTGCAACAACATCAGCAACCTATTATCTTCAGTGGTGCTTGTTCACACTTGAGCACTGTGTCACTTCTTCACTCCAATGGTTTCAGCTGAAGTTCCCCCTGTTCTCTCTCCTGTGTTCAAGCTGATCAAGGTATCCATTTCCTGTTCAATTACCGTTGAGCTTGAGTCGGCGGGCCCTTGACCGGTTTATTTTGCTGGAATCAACATAAGTTAGTAAGCACTTTGTAGGTAGGCTTGTACCCTAAAACAAGTGGGACCTCCATGCTGGGCTTGCCAATGACTGCAGGACTAAGCTATGCTCTTGAACACTCCAGACTCCGATCAAAGAAGATTTTTTATTGTAGGGAGGAATTGTTACATAGTTACATAGTATTTGAGGTTGAATAAAGACATTAGTCCATCAAGTCCAACCTATTAAAATTTATTAAAAATTGCACTTTAATAAAAAGAGATTGTCTATTACCTACATTGCATGATCACAGTGTAGTGTCCTTCTTGTAATACAACTTAGAATTATAATTGTGTCAGCCCTCCTCACCATTATTTCCATTCTGCCCAGAGCCGTCCTCGGATCACGTGCCCATAGGCAGCAGTGACAGCTCCAGCCTAACAGAGCAGATAACCGATGTCGTGAAACAGCCGGCGTTCATCGCGGGCATTGGCGGAGCATGCTGGGTAATCCTGATGTGCTTCAGCGTCTGGATATACTGCCGCAGGAAGAAGAGGAAGGAGCTCAGCCATTACACAGGTAAGTGACGCATCTGATGGGTCCAGCCACAAGGCCTGGATGAGTCATTGGGCTGATGGTTCTAATGCTTTCTTCTTTGTTTCCCCAGCCTCCTTCGCCTACACCCCTGCAGGTAATTGTCCACTTATTCCTACATTTCTTATCTTATTGGCTCCAGTTTGGTCTGGTAAAAATGTCTTCTACAAAGTGGTTTGTTATATCTGTTGGATAAGTGCAAAAATAATATGTTGATATAATAATTTGATCCTTTGCCAACTACTGCTTTAGATTACTTGACATGCCAAACACTGTGCTGGTCAAAAAACCATATACATTGTATTCCTTACCTGGGCCAGTTTGAATACATTGTTTCCAATCCTCTGCCCTAATGAAGGGGCGATCTGATGGACCCCAGAATGTGTTGGCTTGTCTTATAAAGTCTTCTGTTTGGCCTTGTATTGGAATAAATTTGTATTTGGACTATTAACTTGTGACTTGGCGCTTCGGTTTCCCATTCACATGTCAAAAAATGTAATCAACCCTCCTGGTCCTTATCCTGGACTACAAAACAAGTCCCTTCTATGTTATGGAGATGAGGAGAAATCTGCGTTCATTGGAGATGTACTGCAAATGTTTTATTTTTTTTCCCCCCGAGACATGCGCTTCAATATCTTACTATTGTTTTCACAGTGTCCTTTCCCCACACAGAGGCCTCCAGTCACATCACCGCCAGGTAAGAGGAAGTCACACGCATGCAACACACCACACACGTGATACACAGGTAACGGCGTGTATTTGAATAGTTTGATCAGCATCATCAACTGTTCACTTTCCTGATTGTGTGATTAGTATGCAGCCCCCGTCCTTCTCTATGGGCGTAGTCCCCCCCCCTACGCTCACCCGCCTTGCACGTCCGTGCGGGTGAGCGTACTCGTACGCTGACAGGATGGATTCTGCCTGCGTCCGAGCCAGGAAACACGCACCCCTACGGACCTGAACTTGAAGTGAGGGTAGGGGGGTGTAGTCCCATAGAGAAGGACGGGGGCTGCATACTAATCACACGCAGCACCTGTCCTTCCCGGGAGCTGCCCGATACGGCCGTGCACGGAGCTGTACCTGCCGGCCGATTAAAGTGTGAATGAGGCCTAACAGTGCTTTGTGCAGTCCAAGTTGTGACTGCAGATTGTACACGTGAAAGCTTATAAAGGTGAAGAAAAAACGGAATGTACATCCGTCACTATCTATAGCAGTGACAGTCAATCTACTTAATTAAGCAGGCATCAAGTGTGGCCCCTGACATCACCAAAGGGCCACATATTATTCAGTAAATGTGATGCTACAGAAAGCCAAGGTAGGAATAGAGTCTGCCCACCTCCCTGAAAGGCAGGAACCCTAGCAAGGTATGGGCCTTAACGTGACATAATAAAGTTACGTAGAGGTATATATAGAGAAATGGTGTCAGTGTTCGGACTTGCCTTATACTGCAGATGAGAGATTCTCACTCCAAACGCACAATTAAGAAGTGGTCGGGGGCAGGTTTTATCCTAGACTACATTAGATAAGCTCAGAGAACATGCGAATCAAGCTGCAATATTATAATCTGTCCCATTGCTCCTGTTTAGCATTGCCTTGCTGTGGGACTGATACATGTCTCCAGTAGGTGCCCCCCTAGGGGCATTCTTGTACAAGCTTTAGGAATGTGACCTTTGGGTACTCAGGAAGTAGCCAAATATACATAGACCATAATGGGGTTGTGTCACGGTTGCTTGCAGTCATTACAACCTAGGTCTGTTTTCTTTCAGACCGGGCTTGTTGGCCACCAGTGCTTCTAACTACCCCTGGCTGGCAGATTCATGGCCGGCCACCAACCTTCTGAGAAACGGCAAGCCAAAGGAGGCGACAGTCAGCTGCTGCCCGGGAGCCCACAACCCGTCCGAGAGATACTACAACGGTAAGTGATGTCACATTTTTTTGGGGTGTATGTCTGCTCATTAAAGGGGATCTAACGCGTCACAATAAAATGGCTCCTTTTAGTTCTAAAAACAGAAATTTCAAACAACTAGAAAATCATTGTTTTATAGTAAAAGCCAAACGATCAGATTTCGAGGAAGTTTCACCCCTACGAGTCATCTGTGCTTGGAAGGAACAGCTGAAATGCTGGCCCGCTGGAGGTCACGTCCGAGAACTAATGACCTATAACCATCTGTGATGAGCTGGGAGAAGGCCTCGGGCTCCCGAAAATGAGACTTCTCTCGTCCAAGACATTTGATGGCAGTTTTTGTATCATATTTTGCCCCCTCAAGGAACTTTTACTGTGAGAAGCAGAATAACAGCGCAGAGTATTTCTTCTCACCCCCCCCCGAGCAGAAATATCTCCGGGGATCTAGAGAGGAAAAAAAAATGACATTTGGCCTCAGATGCCGAAAAACAAAATCAACATCAAATAGAAAAGCTGCCACGTTCGGGGTACTAAACATGAAGAATGCTCTGCCGGCCATTTTGATAAGTTCCAAGCGACATTCTACCTTCCTCCTTGGGTTTTACATTCACAGGCAGGGCCTACACAGGCAAGGTGCATTTTTGCGCCCTCCCCCCAGTTGCGCCCTCAGGCGGCCGTCTGACTTGCCTTGCGGTAGCGCCGGGCCTGTTCACAGGAGTGTTATGTCATTAAGAAAAACATATTGGTGGGGCGCCGGACCCAAGAGTATGAGAAAACAAGAGGTTTTTTGGGGAGGCAATGTAAGCCGGGTGAATCTAACGCGTGGGTACATCAGCATGACCTCAACCTAACCACTGAACCATCACATTCCCAAACAATTCATCCCCCACACAGCCACCTCCTCATGTATCACTGGCCCCTCCCCTTTAGATTGTAAGCTGTCAGGGGCAGGGCCCTCCTTACCATCTTGTCTTGAATTGTATTGTGATTGTAATGTCTTCCTTATATTGTGAAGCGCTGCGCACACTGTTGGCGCTCTATAAATCCTCTATAATAATAATAACCAGAGTTTTGTTTCGGCAGATGCCGGGATCTCCAACTACATTGCCCAGACAGAGAAATTTGGCACAGGAGTCTCAGACGGGCCCATCTACAGCACCATTGACCCCACCAGTGAAGACATGAGGACATTCAATGGAGCCTTCTCTCAGCAGACCACACCCTACGCAACCACGCCTGTTGTGCCCTACGGCGGCCAGATCCTGCATTCCCCCGAGTCAGAGGACAATGCATGGAATGTCCAGGCTGGCACCTCCGGGATACTGTACGCTCAGCCTGATCGCAGCAAGGCAGAAAACGGTACATTATATGTGTGTTTGGTGGAACATTTAAAGTGTACCTGTCATATATATTCACCTTGAGGGTGGCCTTATTATTGATGGAAGCAGCACTTTTGCTTGTAAGCTTCCTACAAACTGGTGCCTCAGTGCAGAGTACATTAGGAAGTGAGCGTTCATAGAAGGGAGTATTTCAGGGGAGGAGAGTTATAGAGGAAGGAACAGAGTCCTCCAGCAGAGTATTTCAGGAGAGGAGAGTTATAGAGGAAGGAGCAGAGTCCTCCAGCAGAGCAGAGTATTTCAGGAGAGGAGAGTTATAGAGGAAGGAGCAGAGTCCTCCAGCAGAGCAGAGTATTTCAGGAGAGGAGAGTTATAGAGGAAGGAGCAGAGTCCTCCAGCAGAGCAGAGTATTTCAGGAGAGGAGAGTTATAGAGGAAGGAGCAGAGTCCTCCAGCAGAGCAGAGTATTTCAGGAGAGGAGAGTTATAGAGGAAGGAGCAGAGTCCTCCAGCAGAGCAGAGTATTTCAGGAGAGGAGAGTTATAGAGGAAGGAGCAGAGTCCTCCAGCAGAGCAGAGTATTTCAGGAGAGGAGAGTTATAGAGGAAGGAGCAGAGTCCTCCAGCAGAGCAGAGTATTTCAGGAGAGGAGAGTTATAGAGGAAGGAGCAGAGTCCTCCAGCAGAGCAGAGTATTTCAGGAGAGGAGAGTTATAGAGGAAGGAGCAGAGTCCTCCAGCAGAGCAGAGTATTTCAGGAGAGGAGAGTTATAGAGGAAGGAGCAGAGTCCTCCAGCAGAGCAGAGTATTTCAGGAGAGGAGAGTTATAGAGGAAGGAGCAGAGTCCTCCAGCAGAGCAGAGTATTTCAGGAGAGGAGAGTTATAGAGGAAGGAGCAGAGTCCTCCAGCAGAGCAGAGTATTTCAGGAGAGGAGAGTTATAGAGGAAGGAGCAGAGTCCTCCAGCAGAGCAGAGTATTTCAGGAGAGGAGAGTTATAGAGGAAGGAGCAGAGTCCTCCAGCAGAGCAGAGTATTTCAGGAGAGGAGAGTTATAGAGGAAGGAGCAGAGTCCTCCAGCAGAGCAGAGTATTTCAGGAGAGGAGAGTTATAGAGGAAGGAGCAGAGTCCTCCAGCAGAGCAGAGTATTTCAGGAGAGGAGAGTTATAGAGGAAGGAGCAGAGTCCTCCAGCAGAGCAGAGTATTTCAGGAGAGGAGAGTTATAGAGGAAGGAGCAGAGTCCTCCAGCAGAGCAGAGTATTTCAGGAGAGGAGAGTTATAGAGGAAGGAGCAGAGTCCTCCAGCAGAGCAGAGTATTTCAGGAGAGGAGAGTTATAGAGGAAGGAGCAGAGTCCTCCAGCAGAGCAGAGTATTTCAGGAGAGGAGAGTTATAGAGGAAGGAGCAGAGTCCTCCAGCAGAGCAGAGTATTTCAGGAGAGGAGAGTTATAGAGGAAGGAGCAGAGTCCTCCAGCAGAGCAGAGTATTTCAGGAGAGGAGAGTTATAGAGGAAGGAGCAGAGTCCTCCAGCAGAGCAGAGTATTTCAGGAGAGGAGAGTTATAGAGGAAGGAGCAGAGTCCTCCAGCAGAGCAGAGTATTTCAGGAGAGGAGAGTTATAGAGGAAGGAGCAGAGTCCTCCAGCAGAGCAGAGTATTTCAGGAGAGGAGAGTTATAGAGGAAGGAGCAGAGTCCTCCAGCAGAGCAGAGTATTTCAGGAGAGGAGAGTTATAGAGGAAGGAGCAGAGTCCTCCAGCAGAGCAGAGTATTTCAGGAGAGGAGAGTTATAGAGGAAGGAGCAGAGTCCTCCAGCAGAGCAGAGTATTTCAGGAGAGGAGAGTTATAGAGGAAGGAGCAGAGTCCTCCAGCAGAGCAGAGTATTTCAGGAGAGGAGAGTTATAGAGGAAGGAGCAGAGTCCTCCAGCAGAGCAGAGTATTTCAGGAGAGGAGAGTTATAGAGGAAGGAGCAGAGTCCTCCAGCAGAGCAGAGTATTTCAGGAGAGGAGAGTTATAGAGGAAGGAGCAGAGTCCTCCAGCAGAGCAGAGTATTTCAGGAGAGGAGAGTTATAGAGGAAGGAGCAGAGTCCTCCAGCAGAGCAGAGTATTTCAGGAGAGGAGAGTTATAGAGGAAGGAGCAGAGTCCTCCAGCAGAGCAGAGTATTTCAGGAGAGGAGAGTTATAGAGGAAGGAGCAGAGTCCTCCAGCAGAGCAGAGTATTTCAGGAGAGGAGAGTTATAGAGGAAGGAGCAGAGTCCTCCAGCAGAGCAGAGTATTTCAGGAGAGGAGAGTTATAGAGGAAGGAGCAGAGTCCTCCAGCAGAGCAGAGTATTTCAGGAGAGGAGAGTTATAGAGGAAGGAGCAGAGTCCTCCAGCAGAGCAGAGTATTTCAGGAGAGGAGAGTTATAGAGGAAGGAGCAGAGTCCTCCAGCAGAGCATTTCAGGAGAGGAGAGATAGAAGGAGCAGAGTTCTCCAGGACAGCAGAGTATTTTGCTAGAGAGACGTCGTGCAGCACAGCACAGCGATGTAAGTAAAATGAATCTCATGCTGTTACATTGACATGTAAATTAAACGGAATATAAAAACACATTATAATTTGTATTGAAGAATCTCATTTCTTTTTCCAGCCTTAAAGGGCAATAAACAGAAGTCCGTGGGGAAAGCAGTTAAAACGCCGTCTCTGAATTGGACCGAGATTCTGCCTCCGCCACCTCCTGCCAACGAGCTGAACCAATTCCAAGATGAGGACTCAGACGTGGAAATGAAGTAAGCTCTTCCCCTCATCCTCATCTGTTCAGAGCGCGCCGAGCCAGGGAGCTCCTGGCAGCCATCTTGTGTGTTTGCAATGGCTCTCATTCCGCAAGCTGTTGTTTTGTACATTTTGGTTCTGAACGGGTTCATTTCATTAATATACAACAACAAGATCCCCTCCAGGTGCTCCCTACCAAGCCGCAAATTTACATCCTCCGTAATCCTATTAGCAGAAGCCGTTTCGGTTAAGTGAATGTTCATTATGTTTTGGGAAATTTGCATAAATCTCAAGATTTTTTTTTCCTGAAAAGATATTTCTGTTGTTTCAGTTCGGAGACAGAAGAGTGGTGTCCTCCATTGCCGGAGAGGACGTATCTGATGGAGAATATTCCGGAAGACTGCCCTCCTCCCCCACCCCGCGGGGAAGCCTCTTCTCCGGATCAGTCCTACGGACAACAGTCCACGGCCACCCTCACCCCGTCGCCGCGAGACGACATGTACGATTCGGAGGACATTCCGCGACTGCAGCAGTTTGAACTTCTACCCCATCCCAGGTCAGAGTCCTGACACGCCCAAAACATAATGGACCACGTGCACCAACGCCCATTATTGGGGTTTTCTGGCCGCGGCCTCCAGTGTCGCCCAATCTAACCATTTCTCTATCATTAATCTTTAGGAGAATGCCATCTGGATCGGTACCAGTTCCAAGAGCCCCCAGCCCTCCCTTGACACAGTCCAATCCCTCTCTCCATACGGTGGCGGAGGGCGGGGAGACGCCGCGGCACGGACACAGACGGAACCACAGCCAAAATCCAGCCGTTGGCTCGGAGAATATGGACCTGCCCAGCACAGGTGAGAACTGGACTACAAACTAAATACCTCCTCATGTATCACTGGCCCCTCCCTTGTAGAGTGTAAGCCCCCAGGGGCAGGGCCCTCCTTACCATCTTGTCTTGTGATTGTAATGTCTTCCTTATATTGTAAAGCGCTGCGCACACTGTTAGCAGGCCCAGCGCAAGGCAAGTAAGGCGGGCGCCTTACGCCGCTGCAGGGTGAGGGCGGAAAAAACAGGGCATTTTGACAAGTACTTGTACTTGTCAAAATGCCCCGATGTTTGCGCTATGTTTTTTTTTTCCCACTTACCTTCGGGAGAGCGGGAGAGCAGCGGCGAGTCAGCGCTGGTCCGGTGGGAGGAGCTCCAGGTGGGGTCCTAATTTAGCTGACCGGCGACTGCCTGAGGATCCCGAAAAAAAAAAAACATAGCGCAAACATCGGGGCATACAATAGAATTCATATTTTCTCAAAGAATTTCACAATCACCAAATCTGCATCTTAAACTCAAATGGTCTAAAATCCTTGGCTCTTAACTGGTGGGTCGTGACCCGTGTTCGGTGGGTCGCCACGTGCCTTCCACTTTTCTAGGTGAGAGGCTCCTCTGCCTCCCCCTAGCTCAGCACTGCCAGTTCTCTTGCCAAGCACCCATTCAAAATATGCCGCACGGTGTGGTGTTTCAGCATGGGGTGGGGCTATGGCCATGAGGGAGCTCCATCCGTACGTGCGTTGCGCACAGCTTCCTGGCGCGTCCAGTAGAGGTGCCAGAACTGGAGTGACGTCACATTCTAGTTCATATGCAATTGATGGAGGTGCCCTCCGCACACCTTTCAGCAGTCCCGGCCAACAATCAAATAAATGGTGCTCGAAGTAACTTCACGGATGGCACCGTGCAAAACACAAGATTGAAGAAAATAGGTCACCAGCACTCCATAAGTTAAAATGAATGAGTCCTTTTAATGGA